CCAGCATTTGTTGCTTGCTGTTCTGTTAAATTTTGCTAGTCTTACTGGAGTGAGATGATATCTCATGGTTGTCTTGATGAGATGATAAATCTTAATGGAAGGAGAATGCCCCTCTTTCTCCAGCTGTGGGATTTGAACTGCTCACCTTCTGGCTAGCAGTACAGCAGCCTACATACTATATTACTACTAAGAGCTCTTTGCTTTCCTTCAGACTCAAGGCCTGCCAGCCCTGCAGCCTCGGCCCTGGGCTGTATGCTGGCCAAAGAGCAGGGAAGGTGATCCTTAGAATCAATTCCATGGAGAAACTGGGATTACAGTCCTCCTGGGACCCTCTGCGCCGCCCCCACCCCCAGTAGCCTGTGTTGACCTTTACCTCAGGAGGAGAGAAACCACCAGAGAAATTGGCTTCACTTTAACTTTTTTTTTCTCTTGTTCTCAACCCTGTTAAGTATTTAACTAACTATACAGAGGAAATGAAACTCAAAAATGCAAAGAACCCTAAAGTACCTTGAGTATTTCCAAGACCTCGATACTTTCACTGCACCTTGTCCTTGTCCATTGCAGATCCTTGTGCCATTTCCTGACCAGAAAACAAAATCATTTCCTAGGCATACGTGAGGTCAGGAAATACCTAATTCTCAGACTGCCGACCTGGGACATTCACAGTAGAAAGGGACTGGCTCGGAGCTGGAGGCCTCTTTGTTGCATGTGCCACTCTGGCTAAGCCACTTGTGCCAACCCCAGCTGGCACCTTACGGGCACTCAGCCCAGGGCTGAGGTCTCTTTGTCTCCTCCTCGCCCACAGAATCAGCCCAGTCCCCTGGGAGCACGAAGCCCCTGCCTATCTACAGTGCTTGGCAGTTTTCAGCACACATTCCTGTGTGCTGGTTCATCTGAGCCTCACCCAGGGCCTGGGGCTGAGGCGTGGGAATTGCTCTGCTGGGGCTCAAGAGCAGCCATTTATCCAAGTCACAGAGAGGAGAGAGCTGGTTTCACCACTAGCTACCCTTCAGCTGGAGTGGGGCTGGCTCCTCAGGGATCCAGGGTCCATTGGAAGAGGTTGAGAAAGGCTGGGGGAACTGGGTGACAATCCTCCCAGTGTGGTGGGTCTCCCTGTTGCATTCTGTCAAGGGGACATCTGGGCCATAGCAGGCCCCCACGGACTCTTACTAGCAGTTCACATTTACTGAGGATATGCCACGTTCTCTGCACCAGAAGTTTATGTGTCTAATCTCTTTGCCTCTAAATCCACAGTCACCCCATAAGGAAAGAGCTTTTATTATCCCCATTTTATAGAGGAGGAAACAGAACCACAGAGAGGTTACATTTTACAAGATCATGCAGCTAGGAGGTTGGTAGAGACAGGATTCAAGTCCAGGAGTCCACCAGGGAGAAAGCTTCAGCCCGTCCGTCCTTTCACAGCAGTGTTCAACCTGCGGGCAAGAAGTGTCCCATTAGTCAGAGTGGCAGCCTGGTGTGCAGACGACACCTCAGCCTGGGCTCCACTTCCTAGAGGCGGGATTAGATACATCTGCTTCAGCTTCTCTGAGCCTCACTTACCTCATCTGTAAGGTGAGGAGGATGACACCTTGTTTGGTTGGTTGGTTGGTTTGAAGATTAGGAGAGGATGAGGTTGAGGTTGTTAGCCTAACATCTAACAAACAGTCGATGTTCAAAATCTGCCATTGTCATTAGGGCCAGGACTGATGGCAGAACCTTCACCAGCTGGCAGAGGCAGACTGAGTACTTAGCTCCATGTAGAGACTGGATGTGGATGGAGGAGCAACACTCTAGCAGAGCTACGTCTAATCTGTGACTTCCTGCGCCTGTAGCCTGACTCAGGCCAGTCACCTGGTTCCTGAGTCAGGACCCAGGGGAGGGTGCCTCTTTCCTTCAGGCAGGAAGACGAGGGCTGGGAGAACAGGAAATAGTGGGAGGGGTCTTGGAGGCCTAGCAGGAAAGAGGTGTTGACAAAAGCAGTCCACCCCCCAACTCAACCTGGCCCGGGAGGGGCAGCAGCTGGCACCCTGCACAGAGGGCAGGCCGCCTTGAGATCAGATGAATGGCGGTCAAATCCTAATGGTACCAGAGGGTGTAGACTCATTCCAAGCCTCAGTTTCCTCATTTGTGAAATAAGGATGGCACAACTTCCTTTGGAGGGTGGTTTCAGGGATGAATGAGGAGGTGACACTGTGCCTGGCCCCAAATGGCTCACTGAACAGCCGTCCTTCCCCACCCTGATGCCTGGTGGTGTCCTCAGATCTGCCGGCAGGCCCTGAAGTTCCTGACACAAATCCAGGCCCAGCCTCTCATCAACCTGCAGCTGGTGAACGCGTCCCTGTACGAGCACGTGGAGCAGATGCACCTCATAGGGAGGAGGCGGGAGCAGCTGAAGCTTCTGGGGGATTACCTGAGCCTGTGCCGAAGTGGGGCCCTGAAGGAGCTAAGCAAGAGGTAAGCACTGGGGCGTGGATGGAGATCGAGATACACGATGGGGGGCCAGGGGCAGAGCCTGGGCAAGGCATCTGCCTGGCAAAAATGCCCGGGTGGGCCAAGAGCTCCTTCCGAGGGCTTGGCAAACTGTAGCATGCTTTGGGAGTGTTTTGTTTGTTTACTCATCGGTTCCTTGCTTTAGTCAACAGCTATTAATTGAGAACATACTAAATGCCAAGCCCTGGGCCAAGTGTGTAAAATACCCAGTTCCTGGTGTCTTGAAGTTTCTGTCTGGTGGGGAAGGTAGATGAGTAACTAGGGGTGAAGCTGAGAGGAAAAGGTAAATCCAGAGCCAGGGGGATACTCACCCAGTTTGGGGCAAGGGACTTCTAGGATGAGACCTAGGAGTTGAAAAGAGTATTCCAGGTAGAAAGACTAGCCTGGGTAAGGCCATGAGGGGAAACAGACCTAGAAGGAACCTGGACCAGAGTGAGGAGAGGGGAGTGGGGAAGTGTGGGGAGTGGTGGGCTGGAGAGGTGGGTGAGGGCTGGGCCTGAGGGCTCTCACCTCCCTCATCTCATCTCCAGTCAGTTCATGTCTGCGTCTCTGCCAAAATTCTACAAAGAAGGTGAGATTGGGGTGGAACTGTCAGGATGCCTCTCGAGAAGCTTCTTGGTGCCCAGGGAGCCTCAGGATCTTCAGTGCTCAGAGGGATAAGAGAAGACACATCTTAGTCCTGCAACCCAGACTGCAGCCATCTGTGGGGCCCAGCTGTCCTGAGGACTCTGCTGGGCAGACCACAGGCAAAGGAACTGGGACCCGTGCCTAATCTGAGATGTCTGTCTTTGCTGCTTGCTTGAACTTAAGTAACTCACGTGCCTGTCTAGGGTCCCTCCTCTCCACAGGTCTGGTTCAGAGACCACCTCTCTGAGGGGCAGCACCCCTGCTGTAGTTGTGGATCTAACTCCCCTGAAACCAGTGCAGGTCTGCAGGATTCTTGAGAGGGTGCCACAGGGAGGTTCTGTCAGGTGAAGAGGACAGGGGAGCCCTTCACAGGCCTCCCAGAGAAACCAGATATGCCTAGGCCTCTTCACAGGACTTGAAAGAACTGAAAGACCTCTAGGGACAGTGCTGAGGGGACCTCAGAGGCTCTACCCTCCGTCATCAGCTGAATGACTGGATCGTTCCCTCTTAGTAGGTGCTGACTCATTCCCAGCTGCTACAAGGTCCCATGAGGGCTCCAGAGTCTGTCCTCCTGCCCTCTGACAGAGTGGTGAAATCTCTGAGACCATATGGGGCCTCGTCACCCTCCTTGATCCAGGGGCCCAGCACTCCCACAGGCCTGCAGACCATGTGCAGGTCAGGTGCCTGATGAGAATTCTTGCTCTGACCTTCCTCATCACCACCCTGTGAGCTCAGCCAAAGTGAACCAGAAAGCAAGGTGCTTGGCCCTCGGGAGCTGCTCTAGTCTCTGGGAGACCACTTGTTCATGCTGCTGTACTCACCTGTCTCTGACCAAGTCCACACTGCAGCCCGCTGGCCTCCTCCCTATTCCGGTGTTCTCATGCCTGCCTAGTGTGTGCCCAGCCTCAGGGCAAACTTCATGCTTGTGGATGGTCCACTTGAGGAGCAGCATGGGACAGGGGAACTGTGTTACTAGCAGAAGTTATTTCACTTGTCCAAGCACCAGCTTTCTCATCCATAAAATAGACCAGAAACTGCTGTGTGCCCTTGACCTTCCTGAGTGGTGGGGAGGCACATAGCCCTCACTGGCTCCCCACTGGCTGCTGTCAGGGTGGCACTTTGTGGACCACAGTCCAGCTCTCCTGGACCTCTCGAAGATCTTCAGACACATGACCGGGGTCAACATGGCATGTGCTGTGAGGGAAGACACCTGACCAGCCTGGGCAAGGCCCAAAGGGCCACAGGGCTCCTGAAGAAGATGGCATCTACACTGAGGGCTTGTTTGCAAGGTCCTTTTGGTCCTCCTTTAATTGTGTGTATTTTGTTGTTGAGACTATAAATGGCAAAATTTAACCAGTACAACAGTTCACCATGTACAGCTTAGTGGCATCAGTTACATTTTCACCCTCCTTTTCTGACCTGAGCTGTTCCTTCTACATTAACATAAATGTACAGCCTTCTAAGGTTCTTTTCTCATCTCTCAAGTTGCTGTTGTCAATTTGACCCCACTGGATCATTCTTACGATAGCACAGTACTTAAATTATTTTTTTTTAGTTAAGCCAAATTATTGTTTTAAGGAGCTCTGGTGGCACTAGAGCATTACACTTTGCACTGCTAACAGAAACGTCAGACATTCAAATCCACCAGGTGCTCCAAGGAAGAAAGATGGGTGGGATCTTGACCCATTTGGGGTTTGGGAATATTTTCTTTCTTTCTTTCTTTTTTTAACATTATGCATCAGAGAGTTGGACAGTGACCAAGGAGGATAGAAGGAGAATTGATGCCTTTGAGCTGTGGTGCTGGAGAAGAGTATTGAGAATACCATGGACTGCTAGGAAAACAAACAGATTTGTCCTCGAAAGGGTTAAACCGGGTGGCTCCTTGGAGGCAAGGATTCTGAGGCTCTGTCTAACTTACTTTGAACATGTTGTGAGGAGAGACCGGTCCTTGGAGAGGGACATCATGCTTGGGAGGGTGGAGGGACGGCGCAGGAGAGGAAGGCCCTCTATGAGGTGGATTGATTCAGTGACTGGGATAATTGGGATGGGAGTGTCAGAGACAGTGCGATTGGCACAGGACAGAGCGGAGTTTAGGGCTGTTGTACATAGGGTCGCTATGAGTCGCAAGCGACTCGACGGCACATAACAACAACAACAACATATTTTATTTGGGTGAAAGTTTACAGAGAAAATTTCTTCCCCATTCAGTAAATTTTACACATTCCATTTCATGGCATTGGTTGCAATTCCTTTAATGTAACAACGTTCTTTCCACTTCATCTGTAAGTTCTTTTTTTTTTTTTTTTCATCTGTAAGTTCTGTGCTCCTTCCTGCCTGCCTTCTGAGCTTGGTTTTGGGGGCAAATTTTGCCTTTTTGGTCACATATGGTTGATTATCCTGAGGAGCAAATTCCTCACATTTGTTATTGTTCATTTTTCAGACTGATTGGCCAAAAGCTGATGTCCAGGAGTGGCTTCAGCTCTAGTCTAGAGGGGAGGTGCTAAGTCCCCTATCAGACCAGTAAATCTGGTCTTTTTTTATTATTTGTATCCCCCCTACTTCCCCCCCCACACACACACTTTCCACGACCTTTGGTTGTACACGTAAACAGAATGGTCAGCAGTAGTCATCTAGTTCTTCTGTTCTCAGGGTAACAGAAGCTTTCGTTCATATAGTCTATAAACCCTTTTAATTGTTTCCTTGAATGTTTGGTTTTCTCCATTCTACTTTCTACAGGAAGATACCATTCATTGTATCTTAGATGGACATTTGAAAGCTTTCAATTCCTGGTTGCAGCAGCCTGGGGCCAGGCAGGCCTCACCTGTGGGAATTCCATTTTAGGGTCAACACGCAGCAAGGGAGAGAGCCAAGGAGCTGTGTCGCTAAGGGAAGCTTTTTCACTTATCTGCACATCAGCCTTCCCAGCTATAAAACAGATCAAAGTGGAGTATTGAGCATTGTCTTTGTGGGCTGTGTTGACTTCAGTGTCTCCTGAGACTGTGATCCTATGCCTTCAAGCCCAATGACTCAGTCCCTTCAGTGGTTTTATTATGGCTATGAAGTTTACCTAACTGTGCCTCCTGTCCGCTGTACTATATGCCTGGCTATATTTACAGCATTTGTTGTGGTGGTGGTTAGGGGCCTTCTAGTTGACGACATCACTATGAGTCACAGTCTGTAAGTCACCGTGAGTCACTCTGAGAACATCTCACCAAGGGTCTTCCTCTCCTTTGTTGACTCTCCGCTTTTCCAAGCTTGCTGTCCTTTTCTGAAGGCTGCGCAAAATTTATGAGGCAAAGCCTCACTGCTCTTGGTTCTAAGGAACATTCTGGCTGCCCTCCTCCTGTTCCTGATTCTCCTTCCTCTATTCCTGAGTAGAGGTCAGTTGTACCTGAGATGGCCACTTGCAAGATTTTAAGACCCCAAGAACTATACAGTAAGCTAGGAAGTAGAACAGAAAAATGCACAACATTAGTCCAGTTCACTGGGATGTCCCAGGAATCCATGGCCCAGAACCTCCAACCGAGGAGCCAGTCCCACGTGATCTGTGGTTGGATGTAAGTGCCTCAACAGCTACTCTGTTGTTGTTGTTGTTGTCAATATATCTGTTAGACACAGTTTTCCAATTCAGTTTTTTACAGGTATGCAACTTGTCAATGGCAATTGTAATAATCATCTCTGCAGTCCTACCCTTAATTAATGTGATTTTTCCATCACCCATTAACCTGCCTTTGCACCTTCCCTCACCCCTGGTAAATAAGTGAAGTCTTACAATATTTGTTCTTATGTGATCCGCTCAGCATAATTAATGTCTTCAAGCTCCATCCAAACAAACACCGGGGCCTATGAAGGGCCCAGGGCAGCTGGAGTCCGGGGCGTGGACCAGGTGTGCTCAGGAGCCAGACTGGAAGGTCCTGTGTGTCACGAGGTGTTTGGCTGGAGAGTCAGTGAGCATCTGTGAACAAGGAACTATCACACTGCTCTGGGTTTTAGGAAAGACTGCTTTGGTTAGTAGCATTGGGCTGGAGGGAAAGGCTAGTAGAGTGATTAATTAATCCAGGGAGATGAGAGGGCTTGAACTAAGTCAGCCTCAGTGGAAACTGAGAGGGAGAGGGAGTGAGAAGAATGGGCAGGCTTTGTACAGGTATCAGGTTGGGGTGGCAGTGCCCTCTGCTTGTGGCAGTAGTCTGGCTGAGTGCTCTGAGAGAAAAGAGCAGACTTGGGGCATAGCTGTGTCTCCAAGAGGCAGAGAAGTCTGAGTCTGTCCGCTCAGGCTTTCGTGAAGGACCCCTCAGAAGGTGCTCACCCACCACCCCTCAGATTCTCCTCCCAACATCCCAGGGGATAGTAACACCCAAACCACCCACCACATCCCACAAACTGGAAATCAGACTCAGCCCCTTACTAGTGCCCTTTCCTGTCCCCTCACTTTGTTGTTTATGGGAGTTAGAATGAAGCCATCTCCTCCCATCTTCCAGGGAGCCCTGAGGAGTCTTCTCTAGGGAGTCATCCCTTCCCTAAGGAGTCAGCTCCAGCGCAGAGAACAGAGAAGGCTCTTCTCGTTGTGTGGGGCAGTAACTGAGGGCCTGAGTAGACCTAGGGTGTGCCCAGTGCATGTGGATTTCTCTACCCCAGGTTGGACTGAGAGGTGGCGCTCTCCTCTCTGGTCTTGGCTGAGTGTTGTGGAGAGAAGCCAGCTGCAAGGCCTTGTGGCTGAGGGTATGACATTCCAGGAGATGGTGGCTTGCAGGGAAGCTCAGGGCCTGACTGGCACACAGGACTTCAGGACAGTGGACAAGGACAGATGACGGATATCTCTCTATCCAGTCAGCTCCTCCCTTCCTGCCAGCTCAGGGCCAGCCTGTGTACCCCCCACAGCCCATATTTTCCTGGTGATAAATGGCAGCTTCCTGTTTCCAGAAAGCTGGAAGTTTGCTGAAGAAACCTATTAGCAACATCCTCCCCCTCCCCCCCCCATATGGCACTTGTCTGATTTGTGAGACCTACCATCTCTGCTCTAGATAGGGCTACCTTGGACCACCGCTAAGGCTGTGGGGGTGAGGCAAGCCCCCACTCCAGATGCTTCGCAGTTCTGTCACCATTCCCCCAGATGCGCAGTGTGACCCCAGCTTCCTCTGACTTAGAGCATTCTCTTCCTGCCCCGAGAACCCACACAAACACATACACACAGGCCAGGCAGGGGGACTTCTGCAGGTGTTTCCTCTCTCCCCTCAGGATGTCACCAGTGGGATCCCTGCCATTGGTGTGGAAACCAGAGCCACACTGGTAGTTGAGCCCTCATGCCCTGCCCCCACCTCTGAAATGGAACCTGCAGGGCTTCACGCCCCAGGTCCTCTCGCATAGCATCGAAACCAGGTGCATTCTTGAATGTCTGTCCCTCTCTAGACTAGGACTGCAGGGGGACAGAGGCCTTCCACGCCCTGTGTATTTCTATCCCCAGCACTGTGGCCGGCACACTACATAGTAGTGGCCGTCCCCACAGCCACCATCTGGGGACATTCAAGGCGGGTGAAGGCACAGGCTCTGGAGCCAGACTCCAGACTCTAGCTGTGCCGCTTACCAGCTGTGTGGGCTCGGGCAGGTGAACCCCTCTGAGGACTGAATAGTGCCTGCCTCACAGGACTGCCTGAGACTGGAACGAGTCAACACGAAGGTCAGATGTTCCTCTTCCTTGTCATCCTTTGTTAACTATGTGTTCACTGTGTGCTAGTACAGTGCTAGGTTCTTGAAAGAAATTACTTAGTCCTCAAAACAAGTCTGTTTCTCACAGCAAGAAGCCTGAGGCTCAGAGAGCTGAAGTAGCTTGACCACTTGACCAGAGCCACCATCTCTAGTAGAGCGGTGCTCCTGACCACCGCCAGGCAAGGGACAAGTGGGTTCAGGCCTGTTTAACAGCTGAGGGAATGGAAGCAAATACCACAGGTCGGACTGGCTCATTGAGACTCTCCTAAGGAATGTCTTCTGTTTTCTTTGAAGGCTCAACCACAGGAATTATCTCTTGGAGTTTCCCCACAAGTACAGCGTTGTTGACCTTCAGCAGGTAGGAAGTTCATGCACTCCTCCAGTCCCCAGCCTCACGAGAGAGAGCTTATTCCTAGAAGGATCTGGAAGGGGTTTGGGGAGTGGGTGTGAATGCCAGCTTCTCAGTGCCTCAGAATTAGTCTCCATGTTGCAGTGATGAGGCTCTCCTCGCCCCCAGTCCCCTTGGAATAAGCAGTTCCTTCATTGAACCCCAGGGTCACAGTTCCTCAGCCCCTCCTCTGCCTCTGGACTCCTCCCCTGGGCACAGGACACTCCTTCCTCAAGGAGAGGGCACATTTCACTGACAGCACATTTTTCATGGATTAAAGGTTTGTGGCCACCCTGCATTAAGCAGGTCTGTTTAGCTCCATTTTCCAACAGCATGTGGTCACTTCACATCACAGTCGCATCTGGAAAATTCTCCCAGTACTTCAAACTTTTCCATAGACACACTTTATATACTATAATATAGTATAAATGTAACTTTTGTATATTACATACCTTTAAACATAATGTTCTTGTTATAGTCACTTTACTGTGATAGCTGGAATCAAACCCACTCAGTCTCTGAGATATGCCAGAGGTAGGCATCCCACGGTGAGGGCTGGATCCTTCTACTGAAGGAGGTTCTCTTGGCCAAGCGGAACCTTGGGGTTGAACGTCCTTCATGAAGGCAGCCGAGGGCATCTGCAGCCCCTTTTCATGCATCGCTGTGTCAGGAACTCCCACCTAAAAGGCCTGGCGGCCTGTGTCTGCTCTCCGCAGATTGCAGAGGGCACATACGAAGCCTTCCTCCAGGCCCTGATCGATTTCGCCTCCCAGCACGTCTATCACTGCGACCTGTGCACCCAGCGTGGCTTCATTTGCCAGATCTGCCACCACCATGACATCATCTTCCCCTTTGAGTTTGACACCACCATCAGGTATGCAGGACACCTCACCCCACGCACACCCACAGTCCGGTCCGAGTGTTCCGGGGCAGCAGACCGAGTTCCATTTTGTGGGAACGTATTGAATGAACTTGCCCTTTGTGTCAGTGCCAAGGTGGGGGACGAGGTTGTCTGGAGCAGCCCATGCCCTGGGCGGTCATGACTGGCTCCAGTCCAGCTCAGGGGTCAAGATGAGCCCTCTCAGGACTCTGCTGAGCCTCTGGAAGAGGTGGGTGCAGGTCCTCTGAACAGGGGCCTCTCTGAGCCTCAGTTTTGTCATCTCTGAATGGGTTGAGGATGGATTAAATGAGTTCCTGCCCTGGAGGGTTGACGCAGTGGCTACTGCTGTAATTAGAATCGTGTCTCCAGTTACTGATCAGCTGTCTGAATGCTTTTTTTTTTAAATTTTATTTTATTTTATTATTATTGTGTGTGTGTGTGTACCGTCAAATTGGATCTGACTGGTACAGGATGTCTGAATACTTTTAACAGCATAGCGCAGGTGCCTCTAAATGCAAAAAAAATTCATCCAGCAATCTCTCATTCCGATCCACATGGGACTGGAAAACCAAACTAGGGGTTTGATTTTTTTTTTTCTTTTTAGAATTAATTTTCAGCAAGTATCCCCTAGCCAAAGTGTTCCCTGGTGAGGTGCAGCCTCTGAACAGTGGTTTTTGTTTTCATTATCATTATCTATTGGCACCAAACCAACTGCTCAGTGTTTTAAACATAGACAAGAAATCTATTTACTGAATCTCAAACAGCATTTTTGAAAAATGAACGAGACCAGAGAAGATCAGAATGTCCCGCTAGCTTTCAGATCAGCATTTCTTCGGGAAAGGCTTTGGTTCTTCTTGGGGTGTGGGGAGGCCCACCCGCGCTGGCTGGCAGAGTGGATCACAGCCTCCCCGTGACAGTCAGCGCTGGCCAGCTGGGCCACAGGGAGGCTTCTGGCCGGTTTCACACAGCTGCCCTTGCCACTCTCTCCCCAGGTGTGCTGAGTGTAAGACTGTCTTCCACCAGAGCTGCCAGGCCGTGGTGAAGAAGGGCTGCCCCCGCTGTGCCCGCTGGCGCAAGTACCAAGAACAGAACGCCCTCACCTAATCCCTCTCCTGCCCCCACCTTGGGGCCCACGAGGGTCAGGTGCGGCTCAGCCTTCCCAGCTGGGTTTGCCATCCACCTTGGGCTACTCTCAAAGTACTATCTCAAAGTGTGGCAGCGTCTCCCAGCCAGGGATACTCAGATGTGATGAGCGCAGGAGTGCCTGGGGAAGGCAGGGGAGCCCTCAGTGTCCACCGCCCTCCCCACTGCCATCTGCTGCACGAGGCTGATGCCACCAGCTGCCTCCTCCATGAGCTGTCTTCTCCTGCTGGACGCTTGGTACACACCAGGTCCCAGCTCATCTCCATTAGGGCTGTGAAAAACACTGTGGAAATGAGACTTGGGAAGCATTTTCAATTCTACATTCCTGATTAAAAAGGCTAGGATTTTTTTTAAGGTGGGATTACCCCCCCCTCACTTTCATATTTCAACAGAAAATATTTTTTTATTCTTGACTCTACACTAGTCACCCGAGAAATCCAGACATTGTCACCTGAGCAAAATAGGCAGGAGATACTCGGGCCTGTCCTGGTGGTGGACACTGGCAGGTGGGTCACGGGTGAGACAGAGCCTGTCGTCAGACCTGGTGCCTTTCCTCTGCCCTCCTTGGGCACTGACAGCTCAAGAACAACGTGCCAAACTGCCCACCGGGCAGGGTGGGGTTAGCCCCATCCCATTGGATACCCTGTGTTCTCTCTCTCCCCTCCCCTAACCTACTTACCTGAAAATCCCATCTTCTTTCTTGGTGTCAGAGACCCCTAGCTCTTTTCTAGTGTGGGGCCTGGCCCCAGCAGAAGAATGGGAAGTGATTCAAACCCAGCACTGTCAGCACTTTGAGCCCTCCTTGTTCTTTAGAAGGAGCATCGTCCTGCCCACCCTCCACCCTGACGCCTTCCTCACTCCCACCGCACCTGCAGGCAGAGGGGCAGGGTGCTCCTGCAGCGCTCTTGGCTCATCTCAGTGGGTTCATGCGACCACCCCACCTGCCTGACACCTGCCCTGGCAGAGAGATGGGCTGGGCCTCCGGTGAGGGCAGCAAAGCCAGGCCAAGGGATGAACTAGAGGCACTATGGCTACCAAGCTCTACACCATGAAGTGGCGCTGTCGTTTGGAGAAGAGTGGCAGCCCCACTGTCAAGCGGCGCAAGAACCGTGGGAGAAGCTATACCTGTGGAAGGATCCTTTACTTCACTTTTAAAAGCCATTAATTCACAAAGCTTCATCGGATGTGCCCAGTAGGAGGAGCCACCAGAGACTGGACACGTTCTTTGGAGCAGCATTGCCTTTGAGGAGCTCCTGGGGTTGGAGTGGGGCCTGGAATTGTTTCTGAAGTGTGATGTTTGGGCCCCTGGGGCTTTGAGGGAAATGTTGGCATGATCCTTTTGCAGCTTTCCTGGGGTCCTTAGACCATTTTACCTACACTGAGCTGGGAATGGGAAGTCTCAAGTGGGGCCAGCATCTGTCACTGTCAAAGGATGACCCTACCCACTTCTCCCCCAGGGTGATTCTGCTGAGTCACCTGGCCAGCTCTGTGGTGCCCGGTGCATCGTGCAATAGGTCACATGGTACATTTGGTAGTAGGCAGGCGGAAGAGCAGGAAGGCTGACGCACAGCTTCTCTGTCTGTTCGTCATGGAAGATGGTGCCCACTTGTGCCCAGCACGCCAAAGCCTCTTAAGAAAGAAGGTTGGCCCCTTAACCCCTAGGCAGCCAGCATTAATGCCCCACAGTCCTCACTGGCAGGAACCCCACGTGGGATAGGCATTGCCACCTAAGCCTAGCCCTCTATTCTCAGGCCTGCAAGTTCCAAAGCTGCCCTTGGAGGCAGTGGTCAAGGTCCTGACTGGGCTCACTTTAGTCGATGGGCACTTCTCCTACCCCGGGCACTATTAGCATTAGGATGCACCCCTCCCCATTACTAAAAAGCTGCTAATGCTTAGGATACGCTGACTCTGACTCCCCTGACCTACAGTGGAAAGCTGGCCAGAGCCTCAGCAGTGCCCACACTATTTTAAAAACTGTTATTTTATGCAATAAACTGTTTCTTGGGAGTGGGGCTTCGGCCCTGAGAAGTGCTTTGCAATGCAATGAAGGAGCTGCTGCTGTGTGACTTTTGAATGATTTTGCAGTAAAGTCCTGATCTTTCTAAATCACTGGTTTTGCTTCAAAATACTGACACTGCCTCTGAGTAGGGAGAGATCACAGCCATCTGTTACTGTCTGTGATAGGGCTTCCCCTGCCCGTAGCCAGTCCCCTGGCAGAAGAAAGCTCAGAAGTTGGGGGTAAACATTGAAGACGGGCTGGAGTACCCAGAGTGAGCACAGAGAAAGTGAGGGGCCTTGAGAGGTTTACTCATATAATGCTCAGATGTGACAGCTGGAGCCTGTGGCCTGAAAGTCCCACAAAATGGCTTTTTTCCTGGGCTTCAAGTGTCATAGGACGTGAAGATCTCTCTGTTATTTGGGGGGGGGGGTGTCAGAGAGGAGGGACGGAGCAGGGCCACTAGTTCAGGACTGATAGCTTTAAGGACTTGTCAGTTGATGAAGTTCCAGGGGACCAGGAGGGAAAACCCATCAACCCCATTGCTGGTGCAGTACAGGGAAACTGGACTAACTTCTAGGAAAGCGGGACTTGCAGACCATTCGGGGCCCTGGGCACAGGCTCCTCCCTTGTAGGGAGCATCTTCTGCCCATCCTAGGAGCCCAGCTGTACCCCCTTCTGGAAGCAGTAGGTGGTGGGGTTTAGAGAAGAGGATATAGCTGTGAGGACTCAGGGAAGGCAGGCCCAGTAGAGGACCAAGGTACTGCCTTGCCATTGGATTCAGCCCCCCTAACCCCCCTCCCCTCCTCCTGCTGAAAGAAGAAAGTGAGGCTTGCAGATCCCGATCCAAACCCAAAGAGCAGGAAGGTTCATTTAATAATGAAAGTGGTGATACTAATAACCTGTCTCATTTCCTGTATGTGAGGCACTGTACTAAGTACCTCTCATTTCATCTTCCCAACAGTCCTATAGGTGTTACTACCCCTAGTTTACAGGAAGGCTGTTACGTACCATCAAGTTGAGAAGGAAAGAAAATGCAGAGATAAGGCAAATAAATATCCCAAGGCCAGCAAGGCAAATAAATATCCCAAGGCCAGCAAGTGGTAGAGCTGGGTGGGAGAGCTGACACATCCTCCCTACCCCTAGCAAGGACCTTGATCACATAGCTGTGGTCACTATGCTGGGTCACCCTGGGACCAGTAGGGCAGGCCCTCCAGCTTCATTTTTCTAAGCTTGCTAGGCACCAAGGACGTGAATCTTCACTTTGGCCCAGTGGCTGCCCTGGAAAAGCTCAGGTTGCCACCAGACCTCAGGCACGCGGAGATGGCTGCCTCAAAATGGAGTCAGTCAGGAGCAAAGCCTAGCGGGGTGGATGGAGGCGTTCTGGGAAGCGAGTGGCCAGATTCCGTACCACTCGAGCCCTCATCCCTGGGAAGGTGGCGTCAGGTGGGGCCTGGTCACCTGTTCCATTAAGGGCCCTCAATAATGAGACCACGGTGGAGTGGTCCAGCTCATGTCAAGGGAACTGGAGGCTGCTTTCCTTAGAAAGCAGGAAGATTCCTGAGAGACCCTGGGCTGGATTCAAGGTCCTGGCCTCCAGAGAGGAGTTACTCTGAGTTTACACTCGGGACAGAGGGGAGAGGGCTCCTTCCTCCACAGAGAGCAAAGGAGGGGGGCGTGTAGGGGGTGATTCCGGTCAGGAAAAGTCGCCGGGGAGGCTCCAGGCCCACTCAGTGGTCATCCTGGTCCTGTTGCCTCCTCCTCCGGGGAGACTGCCAGGTGTGGCCGAGGATCAGGGTCTCGGGTGGTGCAGGGGGAGAGGGTGGCGTCTCTGCTCCTGGGGCACTGGCCCAGCCCAGAGGGGACAGGAAGCCGGGACACCGGGGATTGTCTCTCACAGCCGCAGCCCAGTCCGGGAGGAAGTTCTGCCGGGCGCTCTCCGCCGGTGCCTCCCTCACTAGATTGTAGAACAGGAAACCCAGCAGCGCGGGAGTCCGGCGGACAGAGAAGGAGCGCCGGCGGCGAGCTCCCGCGCGCCCGCCCGGACAAGCGAAGGCGAAGAAGGAGGCGCGCACGCTGGTGCGTCCAGGTGCGGGGTTGGACAGGGGGCCGTGGGGGGCGCAGGTGGCCACTGCCCCCAACTCTCTGTGCTGGGGACAGAGCTGTGCGCGTCGAGAGAGGAACCGCAGGGCAGCTGCGCCCCGGGAGTGGGGGCTTCTGCCCTCACGCCAGGGGCCGGAGGGGCCCAGACCTCCTGTGCCGACCCCAGCGCGGCGCCGCAGTGACTCCTGTCTCTGGAACAGTGCCCGCAGGGCCTCCTGGCTACGCGTCCGTCCTTGGTTTCTGGGAGCTTCCTCTTCTGTCGACCTCCAGAGGGTCCAGGAGGAAGTTGAGGTGTGGGTCCCCACCTCGCCCACTGCGGGGTACCGCGATCTGTCGGTGACCCCGCCGTGGGAGCCCCGCTCGGAGTTTTCTAGGCCCGGTACTGCTGCGCCAGCCACAGGCCTGGGGAGGGCGGAGGTGGGCCGGCGCGGGGTGCCGCAGTCCAAGGAGAGGGCTTGGAGTTGGAGATTCAGAGCGGAGACAGCCGATGGGGTCGGGTCCAACAGGGTGTCTCAGTCGCAGGGGCTCCAGAGCAATGAATCTTGCTGGGGGCGGCGCAGGGGCGGAACCCTGCCTCACCCCAGGTTCCTGCACCCGCGCAACGCAGCCCCCAAGCGTCTACTCCCACCCCATATGTCCTCTCCCTCGGTGCTCCGTCCCCGAGGTCCTTTCAGGTCCCAGCGGCGGCATTCAGCCCTCCTAGAGACAACTGCTTTGGAAATTGGGAGCACCAGTCCCTCCTGAGCGTCCTTTTGAGACTTTGCTCCCTTCCCCAGCTCCTGGTCGGCTTGGTCTCGAAGACTTGCCCTGGGAAGACTCGAGCAGCGAGATGATAACGATTTAACCTGCACTCACCCGCCAG